GAAAACCATGGCCCTGACAAGATGTAGAGCAAGCAGGAGCTGTGAGAAGGTGGGTGCTGCCCCATGGGCTGGTCTGGGAAGAAGAAAAGCAGAGTTTGCACTTGTTTTGGCTCCTCCATAACGAGGCCATGTAAAATAATAACAAAACCCCCACTGCCACAACCCTTTTTTTCTTGCTTGTTGATTTTTAACATTAGGAGCTGTGCCCTGGGTTTGCTCTGTCAAAAGGCAAAAGAGGCTGGAGACACGAGTTCCCTAAGGAATTTTCCAGAAGAATAACTGTGATCAGCTGGGTGTCTTGTTGTGTTTCAAAGATGATGTTTCACCCCCTCTCCCCATTCCAGGTGTGTCTGTACACACATGTGCAGACAGCAATGCCCTCTCACACCTGCACACAGACAATTTTCAGATGATACAATTTTGTAGCCCTTTTCCAAAGCAGTGCCTGCCTTTGAAGGTTGGCACAGCAGAGCTCTGGAGTTCTCTCCTCATTGGGAGCCAGGGGTCCCATCAGGAGCAGGAGGAGAGGTACAGAAAAGCTTTAGAGAGTCTTAGGAAAGGTTATGCATGTATTTGCTGGTGTTGTCAAGGGATGTGGTAAGGGCCCCTGTGCTAGCTGAGCCTGAATCCAGCTGAAGGGCAGCACTAAGCCCCTCACAGGTTTCTGCTGTAAGAGCTAATAAATTCATTTCTGCAAAGCCCTTTGAAGGGGTAAAGGGATAAGCAAATGATATCCGGAGGCTGTGAGCTTCAGAGTTCAACAGGCACTACTTAAATATGAACCAAGTTAGTCACCTTGTAATTTCTTTAAAATGTAAAAGAAGAAGGAAAGCATCTAAAAAGAATAACTCAACAGTAACTTTCAGCAGTGTTCACAGCCTTGTGTCTTTCTGCATGATTTTGGATTCTTACTGTATTTGCTTCCAGTTATATTGAATTAATGGCTGTATTTGACTGTTTTTGTGTATGGTGTTTTGTTTTTAGCTCAGGAAATACATTTTACACTAGTGCTGTTTCTTTTGGTGACTTCTTTTGCTTCTTTTCATTTTTACAATGCCGATGGAAACGTGGTTTTGGCTTTAGTAGTAGATCCTCCCTGGAATGGATGCTGTGCTTTACAGATAACTTTCAATTGTTCCACAGTAACAAAAAGTTAATTAAAATTACTTCTCTCCAGGAAAGGGATTTGCAACAGATTTTTTTTTATGATTGTTCAGGTAATTGTTTTTTCTTTTCTGACAATGTTTACATGCTAACCCTTAGTACTTGTGGTTTGCTATAATGTTTTTAAAATATGTTCTAATTCTGAAATGGAATCTTGAATTAAAGATAAATCATGGAATGTCCATGAGGAAAAAACTCATAACTGATATGAAAGACAATTACATGTAATTGTGTTTCCTACCGTAAATAGGATTTTGGGGGTGTGAGTCTGCTTATTATGTATTAATTGAAAGAACTGAAAGGTAAAAAAAATACTCACCCACAGACATTTCTTTGAGAAAAGCTTTAGGAGTCTGCAGTGAATGTATCCAGGCAGTAATGGGTGAAATGCAGTTTCAGGAACTGTCACAGGCACTTGTGAAACCTGGTGATTAAATTCAGCCACTGCAGCTTGGTTCAAAGTCCATGGAAAGATTCAGGATTTTTCTTCTGACTAACTTTAAACAGAAGAAATTCAGCATAACTGCAGTGGTCCCTACTTCTAATATTTCCTCCCTGAAGCCTTTTCCCTGAAGCTCCTTGTCAGAAGCCAGGAACACAGGCTGTGCTCTGGGAATCACACCAGTCCACGCCCAGTTAAACATCACCTGGGTGTTGGTTCTGTTCTCCCCTTCTTGTGAGCTCCTGCAGACAGCTGGCAAGAGGCTCCAGAGTATATTTTGCGATGACCTGTGTCAGAAGGCCATGGAGGTCCAGAGCCCCTCCATCCCATGGAATGGGTGACACACCCACAGCACAGGAATTACCTCAGGGCTCCCTGCTCTGCTCCCAGCACGGCTGGAGCTCTGGGGCTCCTGCTGGACACCTGTGTGACACCTGTGGGACACCTGTGGGACACAGCTCTAGCTGTGACCCCACCAGTAAAACTTTGGGCAGTGACACCCCAAAGTGCATGGCCGGCTGCAAGGGCTGGGGGCACGTTGTGAAGGACATGAGGGGCCTGCAGGGGACATGAGGGGCACTCGGGGCCTGCAGGGGATGTGAGGGGCACTTGGGGCCTGCTGCCACAGAGCTGCCGTGGCACCCAGGAGGGAACAGCCATCCTGTGTCAGGTGAGGGCTGAAGGGAGAAAAGAGGGGAGCTGCTTGAAGGAGGGGTAATTTCACAGGCTGACATATTGTTTTTCTCCAGTTTTGCTATTTTTGCTGGATGGTGATGGGAGGAGTTAGAGCTGAGCTGTAGGATTCCCTGGGCCTCCCACCAGCAGCAGAAAGCCCCAGGATCCCATTCAGCTCTATCCTTCCTAAGCAAAGCACCTGCATGCTTGCCTTTCGAATATCTTTTCCCCAGTGAAGTAACTTGGATTTTTTAAATGTTTACTCACTTCCTAATTTGCAAGGATTAATTAATTCACAATGGCTCTCTCAGTCATGGCTGTGAATTAGCGAATCATTAGTGTGCCAAGAGCCCTCTCACATGCTGTATTTAATCCCTGTGTCTAAGAGCTTAGGAAAATCATGCTCTCTCTGCTCAGGGATTTCTCTGCAGTGTGCAGGGATGGCGATTGCACTGAACCCATTTCTGGCCTGGTCTCTTTTCCAATGGACATTTGTAGAGCAGTAGTGTCTATCCTCCAGGAGCTGATATTGAATCCCTTTAACAGTGCTCGCCTTTAGCTCCTCCTCCTCTCTCCTTTGCACCCTGATTATTATGTTTAAACTTGAATGGTTTTAGCCTAAGTACGGGTTAACAATTTGAACTCAGATATACACACCCTTTCCATGTTGGCTTTGAAATCAACTATTCCCAGCTCACAAGTGGGATAAATGAACTGCCAAAATTTTGCTGACCACACGCTGTGAGTCGAGGTCCCATCACCTCGCACAGGCACCACGACCCCTCCTGCTTCAGGTCCAGTGCTGCTGCATCTCGTACATCTTCCTACAACAGTAAGTAAATATTTGAGGTAGATATAAATAATATAGGAGGTAAATATAATAAATATTAGGAATAAATGTTATAAACTTTAGGAATAAATATAATAAATATTAATAAATAAATATAATAAACATCAGGAGGTAGATATAAATAAATGCTATGCATGCACACACACTTGTTTATACCCCCATGTCCTGTGCCCTGGGGTGCCGAGTGTGGCAGGATTGGCTGGGGCAGCCCCTCCGTGGCTCCAGCGTGGCGCCAGGCTGGACCTGGAGCCCGTGGTACCTGTCTAGGGAAGTGTCCTGTGGAAGAAGTGCTGCTGCAGCTGCCCTGTCCCTCAGCCCATTGCCAGCCCCTCTGCTCCCCTGCTGTTGGATGCTGGGGTGGCTGCAAGTGCGCTCAGATGCATTTTTCCATGTCTGAGCTGTAGCACACAGCTGATGGAGACCCCCCAAGAGGTCAGAGGCAGCTCTGCCCACCGACATCTGAGGCTCACCAGCCAGGGAACTGTGGCGTGTGGAGCTCAGAGCAGCAACAGGCTGCTGCAGGAAAGCACCAAGAAACCCAAGCCAAACTCTCCCTCTCTCACTACAAACCAGTGAGACAGGGAAGTGCAGCAGAGGGATGTGGAGACAGGTAATCAAGAAGAAGCTGAAGATAGAAGCTGTCGGCTAACGAGAAGCTTATGGACATTTTGGGAAAGGAGGGCCCACGTGGCTGCGTGCCGGTGCTGCATCAGACCTCCTGGGGCAAGGTTTCACCTCGTGGCTTGTAAGAAATTCATGACCTATTCCATTAAAAATGTATTTTCTGCTTTAAATGTATTATATCTCACTAATGGACAATATAATCTTGATCTATGCTGGGAGAGGTGTGGGCTTTTCTCCATCCAGGCTAATTTGCATTTGTCACAGTGCCAATAATAGATGGGTATTACGTACAGGGAAGGAAAACCAGTCTGGAGTCCTTCCATGCCACGTTGGGCACTGCAGAAAACCTCCAGGCTGTAAATCACCAGCACCTGATACATCAGGACAATCAGACCATGTCCAAGGCACAATGCCGAGTTCCAACCCCACACTGGAGTCCTGAGGGTCCCGGCATGGAAAAGAAGTTTTGTGACACTACAGAGGGTGTAAAGGGTCTGCAAAAGGGCAGGCAGAGGGGGTTAAAAATTATGAAAAGAATGTTAAGTACAAATAATAAATGAATAAATACCAATAAATGAAATTTAAGTAGTACTGCATGCAATTTTGGGCCCCTCACTTTAAAAAGAACATTGAGGTGCTGGAGCGTGTCCAGCGAAGGGCACCAAGGCTCGTGAGAGGTTTAGAGCACTTGTCTGACGAGGAGTGGCTGAGGGAGCCGTTTAGTCTGCAGGGGCTCAGGAGGGACAACTCCCTGGCAGGAGGCTGTAGTGAGATGGGGCCAGTCTCTTCTGCCATGCCTGCAGTGAGGGGACCAGAGGAAATGGCTTTAAGAGAGGCGGGAGAATCAGATTAAATACTAAAACATATTTTTCCCTGTTCAGGAGGTCAGACATCAGGACAGGTTGCCAGGGACGTGGTGGAGTCCCCACCCTGGAGGTGCTCAACAGGCACCTACACCTGGTGCTGGGTGATGTGGTCTAGTGGCTTAGGGGTACAGTGGCAGTGTACCATGGTTGGACCGGACGATCTGAAAGGTCTCTTCCAGCCTTGGTGGCTCTGTGACTCTAATAGTGACGAAAAGCACCGTGAACAATAAAACGAGGAAATAACAAAACGCGCGGAGGCTCGGCAGCACCGTCGGTCCTCCGCGGCGGCAGGGGCCGCTGTGGCGCTGTGGCGCGGGCGGAAGCGCGGGCGGGAGGGCCGGGCCGGTGCGACGCCGTGAGCGCGGG